TCGCTTGCCGTCGCTTTTATCAACCGCCACTAACATTTGTTCGAGCAGTTCGTTGCACTCCATTTTATAATGTAACAAACGATTTTTAATTCTAATAAAATAATATCCAATGCACGTGAAACATAGCGAGATGAAAGTTAAGTTACACACAATGAGAATTTCCAACGTCGACAGTTAATATAAAACTATAAACTTTCATTTGCTAAGCATTTCCTAAGCATTTCCTAGAATTTGCTAAGCATTTGCTAGAATTTGGTAGAATTTGCTAAGCATATGCCAGAATTTGGTAGAATTTGCTAAGCATTTGGTAGAATTTGCTAAGCTAAAACATTCGATAAGCCACGGGTTGGTCGGTTTTCAACACTAGTTTGGCGTGTTTCGTTTCGGTGAGCTGTTTTTTCACTCATTCCCGTTCTAGTTTGCTAGGAATCACGTCATTTTCTTTCAAGCATTCCTCGAACGAATCCCTGTCCTTGCAGTGAAATAAGGCTACCCATCGCGTCTCTTCCCTGAGGCCTGTGTTTTGTTCCCTGACAGGCCTTTTTGTTATCTCTTTTTAGCGCTGCAGTCGGCCAGGAAACAGCATCAATCCCCTTTAAATTTGTTTCAAGAAATCAAGTCTCTGCATTTTGTTATACTCTTTATGCAAATATCGCTTTCAAGAAATCCTGCAGTCGTGTTTCCAGGTCGACTTTGTGAACATCCGGGTCCGTCATCACCCAAGATTTCTCTGTGTATGTTTTGTTGATGTGTAAAGTAGGGCAAATAATAATGATGTTATCGAACACATCCAGATAGTATCCTTCCAGCATGTTCAACAAAAAAACGGTCTTCCTTCATCCTGTCTGACCGCACACGATAGCGCAGTGTGGATCTCGAGGCAAATGAATAGATTGCTTGCACGAATCTTCCATTGTCTATATTAAGTTGCGCGTCCATAATAACGTACATATATAATTTTAATTTGCCTTGTGATTTTTTGGTGATTTGGATGGTTATCCCCTCGCCGCCGTTGTCGACGTGGCGGCTGCTGCTGTGCAACCGATCGTCGTCCGTGGATCGCATGTCCAGCCACAGGGCGTACTTGGTGGTCAGGTAATCCCCCAATCTTCCACTTTCGTGATTTCGGGGTTGAAAAACCTTTCGCTGTCTCTTCGAAACGGTTCGTAATCCTCCACAGGAACGATCAAGATGCCTTTGATCGATCGCGCCGGCACGTTCAAGTTGATGTTCCACAGCGTGTGGCTCTTGTCCCGTACGATTGTCCGGTGCCACAGGACTCGGTCGTACAGGATGGACAGCTTTCCCGAGTACTGGTTTCAAACCTGTTGGGCCAGCTCCGGGCTCGTTACCATGTCGAAAGCCAGGGAGATGTTGTCGATGGTGTAACTACCAGCATCACCGTTCGGCGTACGCACGACTTTGCTGTAGTCGTCAAACGTGAGTTCGTATTCCAACCGATCGCCTAGTGCGCGTGTCCCGTGAGCAGCTCGAAGTCGAGTTCCCATACGCTTTGGCGATGGCTTTTTCATCCGCCGGGATTTTGTTTAGCTGATCTTGCGTGAAGAGGTACCCAACGTTCATCCGAGTCGATTTACTGATCCCTTGATACACATAATTATTACGTTCACCCTTGCTCTTCCATAGATCTATATAACAAAAAAGCACATCGCTGTCGTCTATACTCAACACCTCTCTGCCGCTGATTTTGATGGTGGTTTTCTTGACGATGGCGCGGACGATATTCCGCACGAGTTCACGTTTGTCGTTGTGGGAAGTCAATGTGATGTTAAACGCCAGTCGAACCGTGCCAGGAACGATAAGGTCATTCTCGCCCAGGTTGGGGAATCGAACTATCTTGCTGGTTTTGATCTATCTTGCTCGGATTATTGGTGATAGTCACCAACTGACGCATGGCTTTGGCGCCGAGAGGCTTCTCTTAATCTTCGGAAAGGATCTAACTTTCTTCCGTATTGTGACATTGTTATATACATAAATTATAATTAATATAATGGATGATTTGGGCGGTGTAGCGTTTGATGATGGGGATTACGTTGAAGACACTTCGTTTACCAGCAACTCCTTGAGTGACGAACTCCTCAAACAAACCGTCAACGATAATCCGGCGATTTAAAAAAAATGCGATAAAAATGACGTCGAACCGCCGTACAGAGACTATTCCAGTTTATCGATAACAAGGGCATGCTTGGATTGATACCTGATCCAAAGATCGATCTCATGAACACGAGCACGAGAAAACCGCTCGCTCTGTCGACGCTGGTCGCTCAATTTGTTCGCGAAGAATTAAACCTGCGAGATTACGGTGGCGCACGACCCAAACAACTTCCCCCCAAAGTATTTCGTGATCTGCAAAACGTCAGGACCGAACTCAGCAATGCCGGAGACGTGCCCCAACGTGCCAAAAAAACGTCAGACAGCATCGAAACAATATTGCGCACGTACGCGAACGAACCCTTGCCCGGTTTCGAATTTCCTGTTAAGGAACTTTGGGGTCTAGACAAAGCCTTGAAAAACTTGCGTGTAGAACTCGTGAACAACATGGGTAAACTGAATGAAATCAACGAGCACATCGCTCGCAAGAAAAGAAAACTCAGGATTGTGGACGACGAAGCCATGAAGAACATCATCGAGAAAAGATTGCGAGATTTGGAAGATGAGAGACGGACCCGATTGGAAGCCGCTTCCTCCAACCGGGAAGCCCTTCGATCACAGATCAACCGCGTGCAGGAAACCATCGATCGAGTGTTGAACAAGGACACCATGTTGGCCGACAGGATCCGAATTTTGTTCCGAGAGCAAGGGATCACCATCGCCAGCGTTCTTACGGCATTGGGCTTCATCATATCGACTCTGTCCGTATCGCTGACAGGCGGCAGTGGCATACCAACACCACCACCAACGCCAGGTGGCGACATCAGAGACTGGATAAAAAACCATCTCAAATTGCTCGGCGAAGCCCTGGCTAAACTTGTGTGTAAAGCCGCCAAAGCGCGTCCGGGAATCTTGGGTAGCATCGTCTCGTCGTTGCTGATTACGCTGTCGAAAACTGTCACGTGGCTCGGTCAAATCCTGTGGGCAGCCATCATCGCCGTGGTGGGCCTGGTGTACGTCTTGGCTAAGGAATTTTTAACCAAATGAGGCACAGTCCAACCACGATCCCACCGACCACCAGCGCTGTTTTACTATCGAGGTGTTCTTTATTTTCAACCACTTCGCGTGGTAAAAGGGCTGTGGTGGTTGTGGTCGAACAACCCTAGGTTTCGGGGATGATGCCACTATGCTAGTTTCACCGGTCATCATAGGCGTGATGGTTAAGACGTTGATGTCTGGGTTGATACCCAACTTTTGATCGACAGTAGTGATGACGATTTTGTTGTTGTAACCCACCACTTTTCTCAGTTGCATGTCATTCAGAGCCATATACAATCCCACACCAAACACGTAGTCGACGTTCGACCGGGCGTATTCCAACACGTTTTGGTAGCGTTGGATGGCACTCGGTAGATCAACTGGAGCATTAATAGCATCCTCAACGTTAACCACGAACTGTTTCTGCGTGTCATAAGCAGTCCCTTTACCCACAATGCTGGAACGTGTTTGCGTCTGAGCGCCCAGCCAGCCCAATCGAACTCAAAATTAACGACTTGAACGGCTCGGTCGTGTTAACTAACAACGGAAGAAACGTCTTGAGACTCAGCCGGTCGTTGGCGAGAACACTCGGGTTGCCGTCGAGTGAAATACCCCCGACAGACACTGTCACAGGCATGGGATTACCCGACCTAGTTCCATACCGGGAACTGTGCATTCATCTCGATCAGATGAGCACTACGGACAACATTCAAGGTGAATGCCCTTCTACACTGCTGAGAACCATACCCGTGAAAATATCACACACAAAAATTCTGAACCATGAGTTGACTTTGAACTTGATGAAACATCCAAGTAGTTTAACATATTGTGTCTTGATTTGTTTTGTTCTCGTCGACCACCCCACCTCCCCTGGCAGTGGGTTTTATTGAGCTGATACCCATGTGTTTGATTAGTTGATATACCTCAGGGTCGATCCATTGTCTCTGCTTCACCTGATTGCCGATGTCAATCAGTCGGCTTATCTCCAGCTCAGGTAGGCACCCTCTGGGCTGCAAAAGACGCTTGCCCTACTGATTGAAGAACAATATAGGGCTACACTGGTTTCAAATATTTTGAAAGTCCAGACACATATTGCAGTCAAAGTCAACATTTTCCAAAAGTTACTTTTCTCCCAATTTTACAGACACAATTCTTGATAACTTAGGGACATCTTGAACACTTTTCATGCAGATCCGTAGAGAATACTCAGGTTTTTCCTGCTAGAAAACTTGAGAGCTCAGGAACAGCAATGAGGAATAAATGTCCAACATCATTCAAAATCAATACCCTGGTGTACAATGTACACACCGATAATCAGAATAAATCACACACCAGAATCAACTCAAACACACCCTAGCTTCAACTCACTCACTCTCGAGAATCGACTCACTCACATACCAGAATCAACTCGCCCACACACCAACAACAGCCCACTCGCACACACTGGAATCTGTCTCTGTAAGATTGACTTGAACCACCACTAACTCTGATCTACCCGTGTAGGGCATGACTCCCCACACCATGACCTCAGTAGCATATAAGTAATCAGTTCCGGACATCAAAGCATTCCTTAGGAGAACAATAGCATTCCAGGGGAGAACAATAGCATTTTTCAAGTAGTACTCCTACATACCAAAGGAGTTTTCAGGAGCACATTCCATAAATTCCAGGAGCTGTCCTTTGAATCCTTAACCCTATTGTATACAATGATAGCCTACACTATGGTTCTATACCAGCCGGTAAAGAGTTAAGTGACGTCTTTATGTAGCGAGATTACTCATACTGATGGGAATGTGTATTGAAATGTTATAAAAAAGAAACCAAGCAAATTTGATATATTGAAATCATTGCTATTAAATTTGAAATGGGTGGAATGTTGGCCACCTACATCTTTTAAATATTTGTGTTGTTTGGCATTCCATTTATCGTGTCTTGTTAACCAACCAATCAGACAGCATGTGTACTACTCTACATCCAATCAGACAGCACAAGCACTACACAATCCCATGTTGCACCTTCCACTATGAGACATTTCAAATCATTTATCATTGCTATCATAGACCAGAAGAGTTTTGGAAAAGCATTTCTGCTCGCAATCAATATGGCTCAGAAGGTGTTGGACATGAGACGTATAGGCTTCTCAACAGACCAGTTACTTACTAGTGTGTTTCAAGAAGTGAAGGATATTGTGAATACTCAGGTACATTTGCATGAAACAATGATGCGAACAAGTGAGTTGTACAAAACCACGTACACCGAGATGGCAGAGCGAATGAAGACCTTACAAGAGAAACTGCCATCAGTATCGCCTGCTCTCTTGAGTTTGCTGTTGGACTACATGAAAATTGCTGCCACATCTGCCAACGAGAATTCAGAGAACAGAAAGCAAAAATCTCCCATCGCATCTCTTCCTAAGGCTAAGAAAACTAGAAAAGTGAAGGAGAACGAGAGACAACCAGTGGCAAAAGAGCAAAAGAACACAAAAGCGGAAGACCAAAAAGGAGGTAGCCAGTCCAGCAATCAAACCAAGGTAAGTGTAATCATTACGATGATAAATTATATTTGTTCTACCTAATTGTTTACAATGAAATAATTTTATTTCTCAATTTATATCTTATATTCGTCTTCTTTATTGATAGGAGCGATGTCAGCGCTATTTCACTTACTGCACCGCAACCATCTCCATCACTCCTGATAGAACCTATAACACCTCCTACAGAACCTAACTTCAATGACTGGCTTCCAACAGAGTCCACCTAAAATGATTTGTGGTTGGATTACACTCAACTCATGGAAGACATTGAACAGCAAGAGAAACAACACATGGAGATGAATGTCGCAGGTGATTTAACAGCGGAAGATCCATATGAAGAAGAGATACTTCCTCCTCTTCAACGAAATTGTAGCTTTTGTCGTCACAATAATATGCTGCGTCACGTGAGTTGCAATAGTGGACAAGTCCAGTGTCACGTGTGTTGTAATGAACTTATTGACTGTTTGTGTGAATATGATCCAGAGGGGATGATGGAAGACATGTCATCTCAAGATTTTGAAGGACATATCCTATCAGTGTAAATTCAGAGGTGTTTTAATCATGCTCTGTAACATGATGATGATCATTATGTACTGTAACACACTTTTGTGAATTGTAATAGGGGATAGTGGTGGAATGAATAAATAATCAAACCATATGTGTTTTATGTTATATATATTGTTTAGTAAGTCACATTCTCCTCAGTACAACATGAGTTCCCAAAAGAAAAGCAGTGAGTTGAAACAGCAAAAGCATTAGAAAAGTATTATTATGACCCTCACAATCCGGGCGCTTATTATGGACCCTCCAAACTGCGTGATGAATTGAAGAAAAAGAGTCACCATAGTATCAAGCTGAGGAAGGTGAAACGATTTGTGAACAACCAAGATGCTTATAGTTTACGCAAACCAGTCAAACATAGATTTAAAGGATGAAGTAGGAACTGAATATCTCAATCTGGTGAAATCGGGAAATGTGAGACTTGAAATTGAATTCAAATCTGCTCTCACCAAAACTTTGAGTTGTGTCATCATGAGTGAAAGAAACTCTATCATAGAAATTGATACGGCAAGGAATGTGTATATCAAGTAATCATCAACATGAAAGCCTCAGAATTGCAATGTGCCATACAGTGTGATTCAGTCTTACAGAGACATGTCTTGGGAGTGTATGCTAAAGATACTTTACCCACACTCACACCTTCACTGTTGAAGAAAGGAGTGGGTGTCATTGTGAATACAGACAGCAGACAAAAGAGTGGTCGCCACTGGGTGGCTATGTATTTCAAAGGAACTAGAGCAGAACTGTTTGATAGTTTAGCAGAACCAGTTGATGCTGTATATGATAGTTATCTAAAGTCTTATGTTAAATCTTACTTGCACAATGGTGAACGGTTACAATCTGTAGATTCAAATGTATGTGGCTTCTATTGTTTGTATTATCTCTTATGTAAATGTAAAACCAACTGGAGTTTTCATCACTTTCTTCATCAATTTGATGTAAGGAACTTTATATGGAATGACACTTTTGTATCTCAATATATTTGTCACTACTTCAAATACTGTACACCTTGTTTCAGTTGTCAATGATGCTATTGATGTATGTGGGGGAAAAAAATGAAAAAAAAGTAGTTTAGATCAAATGATGTTTTGTTGGGTATAAGAAAAATATACAAATGCAAATATCATTTGCAAAAATGTCCTGCATAGTAAGAAAGTAGAATAAATACTAAACTGAAGTATCTAATGACTGGCGTTTCACTCTTGCATGCTGACGGATAAGACGTCCTTTTTCAACATGAGGAGAGCTTCTGGGGATATATTTGGCCCTACACCCATGTTTACAAAGTTTGGCAAGAGCAAGTCAACAAAAACACGTCAAAGAAAAACAATGGGATCGCTGAATAGACAGGTTACATCTAACAAGAAAAAAAGAGGGGCAACTGTGAAGGGCAAAAAGAAGACTGCACTGAAAATACAACCTGTGTCCAATATCATTATGAAACGGACTAAAGCTGCCTTGAAACGTAACATGGCTCAAAGGTATAAAAGAATGCTTCAGACCCTCTAATCACCCACTTGTGTTACATCACTATCGAGCTTACTACCACCTGTCCAGACTGTGACAAGAGATTTACGCGAAAAGATAATTTACAAAGACATCAGAAGCAGATGCATATGCATGGATCAAGCCGACATAAAGGAAGGAACAGACGTGGACTTATCCAGATATTAAAAACACAACCTGCCGAGAAGACAAAACAGTTTTCTCGAAATGACACCAACAGCTCCCTATCGAAGAAACACTTGGTCCTATACATCAGGAGAGCAGCCAAGTTGGGACCCCCAGGACACAAACATCTTTCTGTGGCATAAATGCCGCTAAACAATAGTCTTCTCTGTTTTATACTTGCTGTATCTGAGTTGTTTCATGTTTCATGTAAAGACTAAAACACAATACAAGCTTTAAAATCATTGAACCAAAAGATTGCTTTTTTTCTTGTGAAAATCCCTTGAACCCTACACTTGTGAAGACTGACACCTTATGTTGTTAATAAAAAGTCTGTTACAATTTTTGTTTCGTTGTTTTTAATTCATGTTTCTATGGTGTCATACACATTGTAAATATATTTCAGCAATCCTATTGTTCAAAACAATATGATCTTGAACAGGCTGTTACTGACTGACTGAGTTTGGTTTTACGCCGCTTTTAGCAATATTCCAGCAACATCACGGCGGGGGAAACCAGAAATGGGCTTCATACATTGTACCCATGTGGGGATTCGAACCCAGGTCTTCGGCGTGACGAGCCAACGCTTTAACCACTAGGCTACCCCACCGCCCCCGAACCCCCGAACCCCGAATATATATATATATTGCTGACACCAGTGTAATTGTCTTTTCACAAGACCGCCCCCGCTCTGGATCGGGTGATCAAGTAGTAGCATAACCTTATATGGAAAGGTCTGCTACGCCATGTTTTGGCTGAATGAAGAGTCTAAGTTAATATAGGATTAGTGTTTTAGCATCTGTCATCACGTCTAACCTTGATGTCATGCATACATTGCGTGTGTATGAGTGTTCATGCACTTTACATAACTACCGAGAGGTAACAACAAAGCAAGTTAAAGAAGCTTTGACCAAATAAGCAGAAAAACCTAAAGTATTTACCACTGAAACTATTCCTACAATACATCCAGGTGGTGTTGTTGCACTCGAATGTTTCGTGTGAAGAAAACACAAAACGATTACAGCTTAGATAATTTCATATTTTTGCAAAATGCTGTTCATCGAATTCTGCTATCTACCTAAAAAGCTCACAAACAGGTTGTTGACACACGGCATCTCTTTTCAATAGTGTCAAGTCGCAGCCGACCGCCTCCGTGGTGTAGTGGTTAGAGCGTCCGCCCGGAGAGCGGAAGGTCGCGGGTTCGATCCCCGACCGCGTCATACCAAAAAGACATTAAAATATGGTACTTGTTGGTCCCTGCCTGGCGCTAGGCATTAATGGGTAAAACAAGGACTGGTCGGCTCGGAGTTAGTATAATGTGTCTGAGTGGGGTATTCATGCTTCACTGCGGCATGGTATCTCAGTGGGCTAGCACTATAAAACCAGCTTAAGTCTGGGCTAGTACAAGCAGCCGCACATACACATACACGTGCATGCACGTCGTCATATGAGCGAAATATTCTCAAGCACGACGTAAAACCCAATTTCACCTCACCTCACCAAGTCGCAGCCCCCACACTAGTCAGTTGTGGCTCATGATCTATAATAACATCTCAACAATGACCACACAGTGAGCTTGTCACGTGAATACACATTCCTTTCTGTGTCAGCACTTCCCTATTTGGAAATGGCTACTACGTTTTTATACTATCCATTGTTTTGCTTTAATGAAGGCTGAGATGGCTGAATGTATCAGTGCATGAGAACAAAACACCCAACCATGACTTGGCTGACTTGTTACGTCATGCATATCTTTAGCTATTAATGAGTTACATACATACTAAATAACCTCCCACAGAAAACACATGAAACTAAATTTGACCTCAATTTAATATAAAGGTTGTAGTTGATGAAGTATCAATAAAATATTTTGTGGCACAACTGTTTGAATACAATGCAATAATCAGATAATAGTGTAAAGAGGTCATATGGTATACTTTCTTATTTGTCTGCAAACAAAAAAGGTTTGCAAATCTTGATCGTGACATTTTTAATAGAATATGTGTACTGAAAATTCAAAGGAATTGTAAGGCATGATATAGTGTGATATAAATCGTGACATTTTCTAAATAGCGTCTACCATTAAACATTCAAAATAAAGTGGTAAAACATTGAAGATATACGTGATTTAATTGTATGTTGATATAAAAATATCACAGGTACAGGTGAACGCACACATCTCTTCCTGGCGTGTGATTCAGCTGAATGATAAGCAGTTGTGTGAAACTATACCTATCCTTAAAAGCAAAGTGAAAAATTTAGTGTTATCAATTCAAGACCAGGAACGGTGTTTTTGCAAACCCTATGTTGTTCAGTTGAAAGTATGTAATTGAAACTTTGTACAAATTGTTAGAATTGATTGACTTTTAAGTAATATTTCTCGTCCATTGAGCATTTGATATTTCATTTCTTGCAGAGAATAGTCTTAATTTTGACCTGCTTGTATACTGCAGAATTATATTCATATGCAGACATGTACAATGAGTTAGAAAAGGTGAGCTGTATTTCATACATTCTGTTAACCCTTTACCTGCTGGAGTAGAGAAAACTCAGTTGAAATTCAATACACATTCCAATCTCAGAGAGTTATGTTTGTTGCAGAATTACGGAAATCGGAAATGACCTTGTTTTGTGGAAGCATGACCCATATCGAATTCATGTAATTTGGCTGTGTAATGATATCTTGCAGGGTTTTGTAAATAATTAATCTTTGCCGCAGGTACCATTAACCTTTATTTTTACTTAATTTTCACTAGTGAGTTTAAGCTTTTGATGGGTAGTATATCTTAAATTGAAAAAAATGCGATCCGCTGGAGTGTAGCGCCAAAACATAACTTTGAGCGAGATGACCAGCTTTCGATCCCACTTTAACGCGGACGGTTGCGTTTGGGTGAATATTTTCAATTTCAGTAACTGACATTCCAATCTGCGTGACTCACCAGGCTAAACCTTCCATTCATATTTACATATGTTTGTACTTCTTTTCAAACCAATTGATTTAAACAATATGTTATTTCCAAAGAAGCTATATGTACAAGGTTTGAACATTGATATTACATATAAAAGGAAATAGACTGCTGCATTTCTAGGTTGGAATATAACGTTAGAAGTGTTGCATGCTTACAAGTTACACTAACAACTAGTCTCTGAAATGAACATATTTTACTGAAAAAAGTTCATAGTAAAAAAAATATAATGAAAAGTAGCCTTGAGACTTTCTTCAATTTCAGAAGCTGAGGAAATCTAGACTTGCCACATTTTCTAGACTTGCGTGGGCTTTCTTGGATATATTTGCTTCAGGGCCTGTACGACAGACTAGCTTACAAGTGTTAACAAATAAGATGTACTACTTAATGAACATATTACTTATGGTACCAAGCACTTATTGAAAGCGGTTAGAATCAGCTATGACATAAGCAACATTCCACC